TTATTCTAACATCCAAACTTTCGTTATCTTCTCTTCTGATTATACCAATTGCTTCTCTTATTACGTAATCGAGAGAATCTTTTTCGCTAACTGAGTGTATAACACAAATGAAAGTTAGCTTCGCAGGCATGATAATTTTATTAATCCTTTGTTCAAAAAAAAGAAGAGGGAGTTTAAAATTTCAAAAAAAGCTTTTTTTTAATAATTTTTAAGAATTTCCCAGGAATCATATTTCATATGATTGGAGTAAATAGAAGTATCGACTACAAGTATGATTTCTAAATTAATTATAGCATTCTTTGTGGCATTTTTCATTAGCTTTAATCTTGTTTGTTTTATTTTTTTTTTCTCGTGCAATTAAAAAGGAATATGATCGTATTTATGTAAACAAAAAAAAAGCTATATATTGACCTGCTGCTCATTATAAGTCAAGCCTAAAGCCTAATGCCTAAAGCTTAATGCTCAAAGCTTAAGATCAAGATAGTATAATATTATCTTAATATATATTATATAAAGCTTAGGCTATAAAGCTTAAGCTATAAAAAAGGCAAAAAGATTAAGCTATATTTAGACATTAATCTAGCCGAATGTTGAATTTTTCAGTTAGTTTGATACTTTTAAAAATCAAAGATCATGTTTATTTTAGGTTAAGCATCAAGTCACAAGCCTTTCAGCTTTCTTTTTCTTAGGCTAATAATGATAAACATGATAATAAATAAAATAAAGAAAATGAATATCACAACGATAACCGTGATAGCAATGAAATTAGTGAAAATGATGATCACGATTTTCCTAGTGATCATTGGTGACATTAGTTAGTGCAGTCATCTAGTAACACAAAGGATTATCACTAACAACGCTCCAATTCCTTCTTATTTTTTGCAGGTTTAAGACGTTTTCTAATGCGCCTTTCCAGCTCTGATCACAAATGTTCTATAGGATTTAAATCTGAGGATTGACTTGGCCAATTTGCCAAAATTTTGATTTTTTTCGTTTCCATCCACTTTTTAACATTTTTAGCGGTATGGATAAAAGCATTATCATCTTGAAATAAATAACCTCACCCGTTAAACTATTATTAATTAATGGAAGTAAATGTGACTCAAGTATTTGAATATAGTCACAATGGTTCATTTTTCCATTAACTTTTACCAGCAGTTCCAAACCTTTTCCTGAAAAACAACCCCACATCATCACATCTCTACCACCATATTTTACTGAAGGAACTATATTTTTAATATTAAATCTTGTTCTAGAAGTTCTCCAAACACGACCTGGTCCATCATTTTTGAATATTATAAAATGGCTTTCATCACTCCAAATTACTGACTTCCATTTTCTAATAGACCAGTCTTTTCTTTCAATATACCAGTTTAAACGATTTTCTCTTTGTTTATTATTAAGAAGAAGTTTAGATGCTAGAATACGTGAAAAAATATTAAGTTCATGCAAATTTCTTCTTATAGTCTTGGTAGAAACTTGAATTCCAGCTTTCTCTTGAAATTTATTTTTTATTTATTCAGCTGATTGGTGGTTATTAGCTTGAACAATTTTTTTTAATGTTTTTTGGTATTCACAATTTAAAAGTTTAGGACGGCCACATCGCGGCTGAGTTTTAAGACCTTTTCCTTCACAAAAGGTTTGAATAGTTCAGTAAACTGTTGTTTTTGAAGTCAAGTGTTTCAATAATGTGATTTCTTGTAGTGCCACCTTTAAATAGACCAATAATTTGGTTGCATTCAGCTTCCGTTAAATGTGGCATGATGCGAGGTAGTACAAAATCCTATTTTACTGATCACATTTAATTTTGTTTATAAATAAAAATAATAATTATATCATTGTTTATGTAGAACATAAGCTATCACGTGTTAAAATTTCAGCCCAAATTATTATGTATATTTTTGAAAATTAGGCCAAAATATGTTTCCCGAAACTTTTGTCCAAGTAGTGTATATTTAAAGTTAAATAATATAATACCTTTTAAAAACAAAAGAACCTCATTTATTAAATGAATAAATAACTTTTATTGAAGATACCTTGCATAATCCTCACAAAAACTAATAGGATCTTGTGAAATAATGTGAAAATCTTTTTTATGTTTCTATCTAATTTTTTTTTTATATAATTATTCTTTTTCTTTGCTATATTTTGGGTTTGATCATATGAAATATTTAGTTTTATTTTTAATTTTTTTAATTTAAGTTCTTTCATATTTGGTCTGCAAAAGTAAAAAATTTTTATTTTATTTTCTTTAAAATTATAAATACACAATATTTTTTTAATTCTTAATATAATGGTCACAGCAAATATTTTAGCAATATTTCATTCCATATGAAATTGTAGTTAAAAGTAATCTCATTAATATTGCAACACAAATCTGTATTAAACCTCACT